GCCAACTCTGGACTCGGGATATGAAATTTTTAGATATGCCACAGTCCTGGGATTTTTCAATTCAACTTACCACCCCACCGTTGTTCCTGGCAAAGGGGCTTTCCAGTTCAGAGAATTTTTAAGAAAGCAACTAACTAGGGTGTAAATGAGAACATAATTCCCAGGTCTGCTGTGTGTTCATCCTCACTACTGGCACTAGGTTAGCCATAGTTAGCCATCATAATTATACTTTACATATTGAAGTCAATAATTTCAATTCAGGATTGGTGCCTGTAGCTCAGTGAATAGGGCGCCAGCCACATAAACCGAAGGGAGTGGATTCGAGCCGGCCTGGGCCTGTTAAACAACAATGAGAACTGCAACCAAAAAATAGCCGAGTGTTGTGGTAGGCACCTGTAGCCCTGGCTACTTGGGAGGCTGAGGCAAGAGAGTCGCTTAAGCCCAAGATTTTGAGGTTGCTGTGACCTGTGATGCCACGGCACTCTACCAAGGGCAACATAGTAAGACTCTTGTCTCAAAAAAAAAAAAAAATGATAATAATTTCAATTCATTTGCATTTTTCTTTAGAACTTGGGCACAAAGCCTTTACACACACACACACAAACACATATATATTTTTTTGAACACAAAATCTTATCTTCCATATTCCTATATAGTCTAGTACCACCAGATTAAAATGCAGCACAAGATCTCCATTTCTCTGACTGCACAGGCCTATGACTGCTCGTTCTCCTGGAAAGGGATCACTCATCCAATACGTAATCCCGTTTTGGTGGCTCTTCCTTGGTGAGAGTACAGGCATCCACCCTCTTATTTTATTTTCAGACTCATATCAAATAATACATTTGGGTTCAGGTCACCTCAGTGGACTTCTTAAATAGTTTCTCAACACATTCTTCTCTGTCTCACTGTCCAATCAATCTTATTAATATACTTGTGGCACTCCCTTGCTTAAAGCTTTCCAACAGCTGGCCTCCTCACACCCTTGCCGACCAGCTCCTGTGGGGGCGCATCAGAAGATGATATGAAAAGCACTGCCTTACATAAACCATCTGTTCCAACATGGTTTCCTCATTACGCCTCTTTTATCTCTACTTTAATTATGGAGTGTATGTTTCTTGCCTGCCTCCCTTCTTTCTTTTCTTCCCCTCTTCCCATCCTTTCCTTCTTTCCTTGTTTTCCTCTTTAATGAAATCCCATATTTTTCTTGTAGATTCAACTTTCCTCCATAAACTTCTAAGTAACTTTTATTTTTAATTTTAGAAGAATTTGTTAGGACTAGTCACTTTGCATTTAGTTTATTCTATTTTTGATTGACATCTTTTTAATGTATATAACTGGCTTCCAAAGTAGATAGTGTTCTCCCACTATCATAAGGATTTGGTACTAGTTGTTTCTATACATACAGGTGCTTTGCCTTTACTTTTTCCCCCTTTTTTTGAGAAAGAGTCTCACTTTGTTGCCCTGGGTAGAGTGCCAGGGCATCACAGTTCACAGCAACCTCAAATTTCTGGGCTCAAGTGATTCTCTTGCCTTGGCCTCCCAAGTAGCTGGGACTATAGGTGCCTGCCACAATGCCCAGTTATTTTTAGAGACAGGATCTCGCTCTGGCTTAGGCTGGTCTTGAACCTGTGAGCTCAGGCAATCTACGTGCCTTGGCCTCCCAGAGTACTGGGATTACTGGCATTAACCACCACACCCAGACTCTTTGCCTTTACTTTTTTAACCTTTGTGTTGAATAAATTCAAACAAATAAAGAGAAAACCCATAACACTTCTCTCTTGTAAGAGGAGAAAATAATAATGTATTTCACTTGGAACATGAGAAAGGATAAATGTCTTAAGCAATACTGGGACAATTTTTAAGAATCGCCACTATTAAAATTATAATTTATTGCTATTCTACTGAGAATATTATTGAGTTATTTATTATTAGCATCTATAATATTTTCTAGGTTGTTTTCTTTACCACTGGGGTCTACTGTAGATGTGTGCAACCTGGGAGGTTGGGCACAAAGCCAAAGTATGAGCATAATGTATAAAATCAAATAAAGTATGCTGTAGAAGGCCACCTACAAGATAGATGCAGGGCTCATAAAGGAAATATTTGCTTTATTCACCCATAAATTTGAATATTATTGCAGTTATAGAAGCAGAAAGAGTTACTCATTTCCTCTTTGTTTTATTTCTGTCTAAAGAGGGAGAACTCTGCCAAAATACTCAAGATACCCTTCACCCTCTGAAAGGTAACGTAAGGTTGCCTTCTGAAATGTGTGAATGATGGCTATGTTGAAAAATCTATGCTATTTTAAAAATGGGGGGAAAAACTCAACAAAAACCAAACCATTTATGAGAGTGCATTATGGGGAGATGGTCTTTGTATCATTTTTCATATATGGAAAATACTTAAAATAGCTATTTTCCAGACAGATGTTAAAATACAACACATTCTTTACCAAATTGTTTTAGAAAACTGTGGCATGTTTAAAGGTAAGTCTCAAAAGCAACTGGCAAGAATGGCAA